TTGTTTTTTCCCTTTATTTTTATGGTTGATATCGTTACAGATGTCCTCCTTTTCCCCTGTCCCTACGATTTGTACTTCTTAGTCCCTTCACCTTTTTCCCCAGCCTTCCCAAGCCCCCGCCCCTCCGGCCACCATCAGCCTCTTCTCTGTATCTATGAGTCTGTTTCCGTTTTGTTTGCTTGGTTATTCTGGTCTTTGGATTCCTCATGGAAGTAACACCGTAAGGCCTTTGTCCCTCTCTGACTTGAGTCAGTATAACACCCCCCAGGTGCATCCGTGCCATCCCGAATGGTAAGACTTCATCCCTCTTCACGGCTGACAAGATCCCATTGGGTGCATGTGTCACCACTTTTAGGAAGCACTCGTTATTGCTTTACTCCTCGTTTTACTGCACCTCATTGACAACTCTTCCTTTAGTCCTGTTTTCTCATTCACTTATTTTAAACATTTGGTTGCTTGGTATGCATTTAAGCCTTATTTTTGGAACGTGACAGGCATGAATGAGTGGATGAACACATGAACGTGCGCACATGTGCTTGGCGTGGCCTCCCGCGCCGCAGTGCACCAGGTGTTCTCGAGCGCCATGAACGTTACCTGCAAGTGCACAGTGCTTCATAATTGACCAGTCTCATCTGAATCCTCTTGGTAGCCCCCAGAACTGTTATTTTCCCCCTCTTCCCTTGTTAGAAACATGGAGAAATTGAGGCTGAGACAGTGAGTTTTCACAAGGCAGAAACTTATAAAGGACAAACAGGATTTTCAACCTAGATGCATATTCTGCTTCCAAGCCTGATTCTTTTCCTCGCCACCATATTACTGCATTTTAAAGCTACTGTTTTTCAGCATGATACTGTATGGAGTTGTGTTGTTTTCTAAAAAGACATAAGGAGAATCTGGTCATTTCCTTGGCCTCAGGATACACTTCCTTGCTGCAAGGTGTTCTGTGGGAGGGCGGAGTTTTGCCTGGGACTTTCTGACCCTTTGGCTTCGGGAGCATCCTTTGAACTGAATCAAGGTTCCCGGGATCAGCGCATATTGAAAAAATTTGTTGTAAGCTAGTCTCCTTTTGATCACTTTTTCTACTACATAATAACTCATATTGTGCAACCGCATTGTAGGGGGAGCTTGCCTCATTACTTAGTAATTTCCTTTAACAGTAAAGCTGAGCTGGAGACATTTGGCCCTCTTCTCATCTTCCTGTTGCTAAATATAAAATGGAAGATGAAGTTCTCCTATTATTCAAGGGAAAGGAATGGGAGTCCTTGGGTGAAGCTGAGGGAAAAAAATTAAGAGGGAAGTAAAATTTACTCAGGTTCCCAAACTGGCAGATACGTACCACAAAGGGCTTAGTAGAGTCTTTCAACCAACAGAGATTTGTTGACTCTTCTATGGACTTGAACTAGACACTGACATGGTGCCAACAAATGGGAGACTCCGTCCTTGCCCTCAGGACCCTTACTTACATTCTTCTAATTCAGGTTCAACAAACTTTTAATAAAGGCCCATTTAGTAAATATTTTAGCCTTTGTAGGCTATTTAGTGTCCATCCCAACTTTTAATTATATCATTATAGTGCAAAATAGCAATAAATAATATGTAGACAAATAAGTATGGCTGTGTCTAGTGAATGTGGACGCAAATTTGAGTTTAATAAATTTATACATGGTATAATATGGTGTTATTTTTTTATTTTCTCAATCTTTTAAAAATGTAAAAACGACTACATCAAACTAAAAATCTTCTGCACAGGAAAAGGACACCATCAACGAAATGAAAGGCAGCCTATTGGCGTGGGAGAACACGTCTGCAAACCCTGTATCTGATAAGGGGTTAATGTGTATTTTTTCATTAATACACGAAACAACAAGGTGGGTCTAATAACTACCATGATTTTGAGTAGTGTTGAGTATATAGGATATATGGAAATATTTACAGATGCAATGACAGGTCTGGATTTGCTTCAGAATTGTCCCAGAGCAGAGAGGGGCATTTAGGTGTAGCAAGATTGGGTACGATTTGAGACTTGTTATAGCTGAGTGATGGGTGCTTGGAGGTCCCCTTTATTATTTTTGGCATACCTTTGAAATTCTCCATAATAAGTTTAAAAAGAAAATGGCAGATGACTGTCAGCCATTAAAATCACCAAAGGTTCTGGGCCGGTGTTTCGAGGTGGCGTGGCACAGGGTCAGACTGGAAGGAGGGCAGCCAGGAGCTGAGCAGAAGAAAACTATTTGGGGCTGGCTGCACTGAAAGCAGCCTGAGGACATGTGAGTGGCAGAGGGCAAGTGGCAATACAGGGTCTGAACTTGGGCGAGGAGTCTGTAGTCCTGCACTTCGGACAATGACAGCCATGAGCATAGAGAAGCTTTTGGAGGGCAGAGAACCGAAGACCACACCTCAGGAAAGGAACTGACTTGGGGCTCAGAAAGAAAAATAGAAATAAAACAAAGTCTGCAGAACCAGCAAAGAAAATTATTAGTCCATGTTTCCATCTAAAGTCTACTTTAAAAAAAAAAAATCAAATAAAATATGGAGCTGCTTTTCATTCTAGCCACCTAGAGATTTGTTTAGTTTTATTGTCCAGGTAAGGTCAACTAATTCAGAACCATGTATCTTAAGGACTCAGTCAGGCTCATCATCCCGCTAAATGGCAACCCGACTTCCCTTTGGACGTTGCACAAGGCAATTTTGAAATGATTTCAGAACCTCGTTAGACCTGGAGCGGCTCTTTGTTCTCCATGCTGGGCTCCGTTCTGCACCAGGTTTGGGCCTTGTGCAGGACAAGTGAAAGTGGCTTTCACTGGACCCCAAGTGGGAGGTGGCCCACAGCTGTTGCTAACATTTTCTTTTCAAGGACCTACACAAGCCAGATCAAAAGACACCGCTCCCACCACTACTCTCCGTCCTGGTGGCCATGCATTCATGTCCGAGGGGCTCACCCTCTACAGCTGTGTCTCTTCAGTGACTCCGAGTAGCCACTGCACTTTGCTTCCATGGAGAAGTCTACAGAAGAAGGCATACTATTTTAAATTTTGATTCTCCTCTGTGTAGGACTGTGATATCTTGCTTTCAATGGTGTACTATTCGATACAATCGAGGGGGGACCCCCCAAAACCCCATTTATAAAAAACTGTGTATTAATCTTACATGTTCAAACCAGTCACCTTCAAAGTCCTCTCCATTTGATGCAATACACCTATCGAGATGTTTTTTCCACTACTCAAAACAGTTTTTAATTCATCGATTGCCTTTTATTGCTTCTGCCCTTTTCTGTTTCTTCTCTTCCATATCAGCAAAATGTTTCCCTTTAAGGACTTTCTTCATCCAGGGAAACAAACAAAAAAAAGTCACTCAGGGTGAGAGATATGGTGAATAGAGAGGGTGGGGCACGGGGGTCATGCCATTTTTGGTCAAAAACTTCTGAACACTCAGTGCAGTGTGGGCAGGCACACTTGTAAATCACTCATCATAAATGGGCAAATACATAAAGTCTTCAAAAAAAAAAATTCACTAAAGCTGAACACAACCTCTCACAACGCCAGCTGGTGCACTGATACAGATGGGTTCCTAGAACACTCACCTAGCAGGGGAAGCCCTCCAGAAGATAGTTCCAGGTTTTTTTCAGGTCCTCTCTCATATACTTGCAGGAAGCGTGGGAGAGGAAGCAGCTTTCCTCTCCCCTTCAACATTCTTTTGGCTGGTCTAATGATTAAATTTGCATGAGATAAATTAACAAGAGAAAATAATCAAATTTAATTCATACATACATACGGAAGTCCACATACATGAGAGTCACAGACCTTACATACATGAGAGGTTCAGACAGGGAAAATGAGATACGCGACATTCTGAGCCTTGGGGCTTCAGAGGGTCAGTGCAGGACAAGAAGAGCAGATGTTGGGTATTTAGTATTTGGTCCTGCCACAAAAATAATGAAAAAAGGTTACCTCTGATAAGCTCTGATCATGGGCAAGGCCTGTCATGCATATTCTTCCAGGTAGTGAAGCGGAGGAGGGGGCAGAAATTTGTGAGCCTGCAGCTTCTTGGTTACGTTCGGCTCAAAATAATTCACAGACCAAAGTGGCACATTTTGGGGAGGCCTGCTCTGAACCCCTATACCAGATTGGAACAAAGGGATGATGCAGGGAAATGATATGCACATAGCCTCCCAGATTGTTTTAAACAAAAACATTAGGAATTTGAACTTAATAGCCTTGGGCGGGGCGGGGGGCGGGGAAGTCTCAAGGGGGCTTCCAGAACTGCTTACTCACAGTCAGAGTCCTTTCTTTCATCTTGCAGAACAGCACACTATTGCAATGGTCTGTTGTTCACAGGTGTACCTCTCTTGCTAGACTGAATTTGAGATCAGGGCTGCACGCTTCTTACCAGTATCCAGAAAAGTGCCTGGCTCATAGCAATCTTCAAACAAGATTCAATCAGTGAACATATGAATGAACGCAGACATATGCATTTGATCCATCGCATAAAGCCCTATGAGTTACCAGTGCCATGAAATAACAATACTTTCCCATAATTCCTTGTCTGAGTAAAATCAATGAGATAAATAAGTGAGCGGTACTTCCAGTGCTTCTTAAAGAGGAGCAGCTGTTATTTCAAACCACTTAGAAAAAAAACAGTTGGCCTGCATTTCCTCTTGCAAGTCAGTCTCAGACTTAACTTGGGATTTGTTTTTTCTAGGCATCAAGAGAAAATGGGTTGCTAGCTCTACCCCCCAATTGGAAGGTCTTCCCCAAGCAGATTTCGCCATCAGAATGCCCAGGGGGCCGCTACCACAGCACCCCTCCCGGTCACTGCCTTACTCCCCCGCAGAAATGCGTGCCCAGGCGTCTGCAGATCACATGGGCTGGCGTGCTTGTGCCCAGCTGGGGCGCCCACCCCCTTCAGGCTGCAAGGTACGGCAGGATATGACCTCGAGGCTGCTCTTCGGTACAAAATGTTTGTCCCCGTCTCAAAGGGCTGGTTAAGCATTCAGTCAAAGAGAATTGCCAATGATTTATTGTTGCTGATAGTGCTCTTATTGGACTTTCACAGAATGTAAGGGCCTGCGGCACAAAATCACCTTGGAGGACACTTAGTAGCATCTTTACATTTTAAAAAAATGACAGAATTTTCACCCAAAGTCTACAGTTTATATTAGGGTTTGCTCTTAGTGCTGTACATTCTGTGGAGCTGGACAAAGGTATAGACATACATTCACTATTACAACATCATACAGAGAATTTTCTTTTACTGCCCTAAAAATTCTCCATGCTCTGCTTAATCATTCCTCTCTCCTCACTAATCTCCGGCCACCAACGATCTCTTTGTTGTCTCTACAGTTGAGGCGATGAGGTGTCAACGTGGGAAGGTTCAGTAGCAATGAACGCACCACCCTGGTGGGAGATGTCGGTGATAGGGGAGCTATGCCTATATAGGGGATATCTCTGTACCTTCCTCTCAAATTTTCTGTGAACCTGGAACCTTAACTAAAAAAAAAAGCTTAAAAAATAACAAAATTTGAGATGGAGGGGGAAGTGACTTGACTAGGGTCACAGAGCTGATTTACAGCAGACCAAGATTAGAACCCAGGGGCCTTCTGCTGTGAGCATTATGCACCACAAATTATGCTACCCTGCTTCCCATAATAAAAAGTCAAGAAACACTTCCTGGGCATCCATGGCGTGACATTTCTTGGAAATACAAGAGAGAAATAGAGTCAGGGGAGCCTCCTGTAGGTCTGACTGCTCACCTGCGCACCTGAGTGGCAGAGGGGTGGGCTATGTCCTAAGGTTTATAGCTGGGTCCTGTTTTCCCACCACCACCGCCCTGAAAATGCACACCCATCCCAGCACCTGTGCTCCTTTGTTAATGCTGTGCTCTGTGCCTGGAAGACTTTGCCCTCCATCTTCAGAGGCTACTCATCTCCAAAGGTGAAGCAGCTCATTCAACATCCCTCCTGGGAGAAGCCGTCTCTCAGCGGAATGACTCTCTCACCCGCGTCTGACCTCTGAGTGCTTCGCAAAATTCTATTACAGAATTGGTAGGTACGACAGTTATTTACTAGCCTCCAATTAGACTCTAAGCTCCAGGAGAACTGGAGCTCAATCACTTCTGTATTTTCAGAACAAACTCTGTGATAGGATAGTTTACATGCTCAGAAAACCAGAGAGGACACAGATCCACCGCTTCTTTTTTTCCAGAGTACAGTTTGATAGTTCAAGACATTATAACCCAAAATCCATAGAGCTTCTGCATTGAAGTGGCTGATAGAATCTATTGAATATTGTGGATTTAAGAGTTCTGGTGGTATACAAGCTATGTATGACTAAGACATAAAACCATTTTTCCTTTACTTTAGAAAAGTGACTGTCAACAGTATTATCATTTCTCATTGTTCTGAAACACTTCATAACCATTTAGGTTAACAATAATAATAATGGGCAATCATTTGCTTTAAAAATAGAAAATCACATGAAATGTATAAAGTACAGAAAGAACAGCTTGGCTTTGCCTCAAGAGCACTCACTCAATGGGAGTCGTTTTGGAAGGTTACAAAGTCAACAGTTATGAGGAGGGTAGAAGGCACAGACTAAAATAATAAACCTGAAAAATACAATCTGTTATAGAAAATCCTGGTTTTAGATTTTGAATATGAACAAACACGGCAAAAAATATCAAAGTCAGGTAGACAGTTATTTATCGTTCTTGGTGCCTGAAAACAAGAATTCAATTGCGCTGGAGCGAAAAATTGTACAATGAAGTACTTTGCAAGTTTCAAATAACCAATTGTTTGATTCAAGATTTAAACAGACAAAATGAGTGCTAATGCATTTAAACAAAGATGGTTAAGCTGTTTTTTTCCTAGCACATGTACGATGTATAATGGTGTATTATTAGAACTAAAAGGGTTTAGATAAAAAAAAAACCCACTTTATTTTTTTAAAGTATATTTTGCTCCTTTTTACAGATTTCAATAAGTTATATTGTCCCTAAACAAGAACACAACATTTGATCTGTTCATTTATTTTATTTTATAAGCAGGTGATAGAAATGTAAACACAGAGTGGTCCAAAGTAGGTTTACAGTTGTGAGTACATGAAACACAAAATTTATTCTTGGATTATTATTTGTTACTCATTGTATTATGTTTCATACAAATAACTGTTAACTGTGAACCTACTTTTGCCCACCCCATACACATACAGGAATACCTCAGAGATATCGCGAGTTCAGCTCCAGACCACCACAATAAAGCAAGTATCGCAATAAAGTGAGTCATAATCTTTTTGCTGGGAGAAGGTCTTGCCTTCAGTTTGTAAAAAACACAACACCTGTGAAGCTCAAAAAAGCAAAGCACAGTAAAATGAGGTATGCCTGCATAGGTAACAGTGCAGGTATACAACAAAGGACAGCCCCCAATTTAATAACTGTATAGGCTTCCTTGCTATTTCAATTATTCATAAAAAGAATTATAGAGAAAACATATATTTGTTATTTTTCTAATCAAAGCACATTCATAACATTTTTTATATCTTCATTTTAAAAAATTCTGATAATGCCAAGTCTCAACATTTTAATAGGAATGTTGGTTAGTTAGGCTTGCTCATCTTTTCTTCTTTTTCATTAAAGATCAAACATAAAACAATGAGGAACCTAAGTCTATTAAAAAAACATAAATACTTGTATTTATGTTGGCCCTCACAAATAATGCTTAACAAATCAAGTTGCGCTTAATTGTAGGTAAATGTAATTGTGCCCAAGGCTGAAATATTTCACTCTGCCTTTGCCTGCAGGTTATATTTTTGTGGCTGGAAAAAATATTCTTCAATAGCAGCGACTAGTTCATTTAGTTCTTTCTTCAGCTGCTCAGGATCACTGCAAAATAAGGGGGGAAATTCCACATTAGTAGATTATTCCAAAGCATACTTTAACCAAGTAATACTGAAATGTAACCTTAAGAGGGCTAAATCAGACAAAACAGAACTCCAGTGACTTCAGCCTCTGCTGATGAAGACAAAAAAAAGAAAAAGTCCCATGAGATAATATCTATTATTTTCCCCAAAGGTTTTTCCAAAAGTCTCAACCGTAAACAAAAGTCATCCCTTTCCAGTCCTCAAAAGAATTTTTAAGACAGAATTTTCGGCCTAGCATTCCCCCTACAATGTCTGTACCTAACAGTGCAGAGGAAACGTTCATGATTCCAGTTGTCATTAAATCCTGCCGAACCTTACAAATGACATCTGTTGTGTCCCAGGCCTCCCAGGATAAGAATGTTTCCCCTCCAACTATGGGCAGCTAAGCGGCAGATGGGGCTGGAAGGCTTTCCTGCAAGAGCAGACGTGGGGAGCCTGCTAGCAGCCCCGCTTAGCACAGACCGGAACTCAGACCCCTGGGTTTATCTGTATTACTATACTTGCAGAACAAAGGGGCCACCGCTGAAATATAACCAAAAGTCTAGGGAGCTAGCTCCCTCCAAGGAAATCAAGTTTTCAAGCCTGTGGAAAACACTCATTCATATGTAAATGATCGGAAGGCAAACGAGAGATAAAACGGACTTGTAATTAGACAAGTTTCCAACAGCTCTCGGGTCAGGCCACCAGCACAGTGTGAGTTACTATAAGAGCTTTAAACCAAAAAGCCGATTTAAAACACTAAATCCTTCAATTCAAAATTTCATTACTTCATATTTGACCATCTTTAGTATATGCCAACTTTATTTTAATGGAAATAGCAATTCTTGCAATTTGGTGAGACCACTTTTACATTGTGAAAGCTAAGCAGTGCAACTAAAACAATCCATTTATTACATTTTATTAATCCATTTTATTAATTCTGACTCTACTGGTTACTAGGGTGTGCCCTTGGGCAAGTGCCTTAGCCTCTGGAAGGCCCAGATTCCTCATTTGTAAAATTGGGATAAAGACTTGAGCTTCCCAAGAGAGTTGTTGTGTAGGTTGAGATAAATTACATAAAACAATTAGCACAGAACCTGGCCCAAAAACCTCAATAAATGTAGCTCTCATTATAATTATTTTTACCCCCACTGGTAACATATAAAGTAATTATGCTTCATAAGTACATAGGAATCACACAGGTAATTTTTTCCCCATAAGTATGCTTTGAAGGGAAAAAAAAAAACAATTCTCAAAGGCACGTAACTAATAATCATGGTGGCTTTTTCAACAATATACCTAAAATTAAAACTCAACAGTGAATGTACTACATATACAGACATATATCTGTATGTCTATAGAGAGAAAGATATATCTATATATAGCTGTGACTAGTTTTGTTTCTGTTAGAACCCTGCCTGATATAATTATTATCTAAACCTTAGATAGTAAGAGAATGTCCTTGTTCTTACAAATGCATATTAAGATCTGTGACTTATTGTCCAATGGCTCATATATGGTAAGAAAGAGCCAATATCACAAAATGCTAATTCTAGGGGTTAGGGTAGGCAAATTAGGGCTTCTGGCTTGTTACGGTAAATACAGTTTTATTGGAACACAGCCACACCCATTCCTTCTCCTATATGGCTGTTTTCTTGCTACAGCAGCAGAGCTGAGTTGTTGTAACAGAGACCAAAGGCCTGTAAACCCTAAAATAGTTTACCACCTAGCTCTTTACAGGCAAAGCTTGCCATCTCCTGGTCTAAGTAAGGGTATGTGATATTCACCACATTATTTCAACATTTCTGTAGGTTTGCAATGTTCTAAAAGAAAAACTAAAGACATCTACTCCAACAAAAACATTTTTTTAAAAAGCAGGATGTAAAAAATAGAAATAAATAAATAAATGGGATTTTGCATTCTAAAGGATTAGGAGGTCGTGAAAGTCTATGAATAAATGAAATTCACAATCCGACTCTATTAATAATATATGAGGTTATCAGAAAATAAGGACACGTTGGGCATGGCCTTACTGCTGCCGTACAGCAGGCGCGCTGGTGCCCGGCTTCCAGCGTGGCAGCACCGCCGCGCGGGACGTGGTGCTCAGCGTCCCATTGAAGAGCAATAAAAACAAGCAACATTTCAATGACTGTAATAAAAGGACTTTTTTTCAAAGTATTTCCAGCAATTTATAAATCAGTATTTGAATTTAAGTCCATTCAATAAGCCATGTGAAAAATGTAAATACCATAGATCCTTAACCATTAAGTAGTATTGCTGTTATAAGGGGAAGTTTTCTGAAATGTCAGGTGCATTTTCACAGGTTAATGAGAAGGAAAAGACATATATAGAAAACATCTATAAATTGGACTAATGTCGATTTGGTTTCAAAAGAATAAGACCAAGAAATACAAAAACACTTAAGTGAGAATAAGTACTACAAAGAAGTCAATAGGAAATCATATTTGATGTACTAGCAAACAGTTTGTTATTTAACACACATGGACAGTATTCAATAAAACATTGGTAATGCAAAGTGCTTAGAAAATAAGCTGTTTTATCTGTTTAAGTTGCTTAAGAGTTGAGTTTTTGCCCTTGAAGCACGAAAAGATTTTGAATGGGAATCTGGAGCAAAATATATCACGCTGTCCCACGACTCCATAAATATATTTGAGTACCTCGAGGTCTGAGAGCCATAGTCCTGACGCACGACGCTGTCTGGGAGCTCCGATCCAGAAGACTCAGGGCCCGCTGGGTGCGGGGTGCTCTTTCACTCACAATAAACCCCCGGGTGGTGACATTCCAAGGTCTTGTTTCCATGTTTCTAGTTTTGTTTTGCTTTAGTATTTTTTGCTTTGCTCTCAGGATTCACGTCTCCCTGTCTCAGGAAAGTCTAACCTAACCCCAACAATAGTTTCCCTACCCCCCTCATCTGCTACATTTTAATTTCCATTGCCTTGCCAATTTAAGTTGCTCAGAAATTTTCCTCTGCCTCTATTTCCACATAGTGCAAATCTGATTCAAAGCCAGAAAAACCCTTGTACAAGCAAAACTCTGGTATACATACGTTGTACCAGCGGCCTAGGCTTAAGCTGTCTACGACAGTAGCCACTAGCCACATTGGCATTTCAAAGGTGCCTACTGCAACCAAGAAATTGACGTTTCAATTTCACTTAAATCTGATTGAAATTCAAATTTAAAAACTGACACTTGACCCAGCTGTTGAAAAACCTAAGCAGTTTTGTAACAACTAGGGTATCAAAATCTACTTTTTAACTATAAATTTTATGAAATCTAAATACAGATCAAGTATTTTTTAAAAATTGGCTTTTGAATTGAGATGCATGGTAAGTTGTAAGACACTAACTGGATTTTGAAGGCTTAAGTGTGACAAAAATGTAAAATATCTCAATAATTTGTGTTACAGATTACATATTGTAATGACATTTAAATATACTAAGTTAAATAAAATATATTATTACAATTAATTTTACCTGTTTCTATTCATTAATAGAAAATTTAAATTGCATATGTGGCTCTCAATTTTATTTCTATGGGACAGAGGTGACTTCACCTTAAAAATTTTTTTTTCCTGATTCTTCACTGTAATCTAAACAGAGAAGTGTGACTTAGCTGTGCGTTAGGTAGGTATGCAAGAGTCACATTTACACAGGCTAACGAATCCACACACCACAGTTGTTAAAGTTCAGAATGTTATAGTTGTTGGGAAGTGACCAACTCAAACCCTTTACCATAGTCACAGAGACATGACCCTGAAGCTACCGGACCATCAGCTCTTCGGTGGCAAGGTCTCTCCCTGATGTGGGCTCTCCTTAAAGTATCTCATACAAAGAAAAGTTGGGAGAGAAAGAGGTAAGTGGTGAAGACGAAAGTGAACACTCTCGTCCCTGGATGCTTCCAGTAGCTGTTAATGTTACAATATTGCTGTAGGCTCTGAAACAATCTTCCTAATTATGAGATGTAGTGGAAAGAGGAAATGTTTTACTTAGCATTTGACTAGAACCAATTAGGAAGTGCGGGGACTCCAACCCGCAGCAGCTGCCATTGCTGTCTCACCTGTTCCCAGGCGGGGCACACAGTTCCGTGTAGTACTTGATTTTGGGCTCTGTCCCACTGGTCCGCATGGTGGCCACGCAGCCATTAACAAAGGTGAAGGTGATCATTTGGCTGCTTTTACTAGTAGGGAGAACCTAGGAATGAATGACATACGTTCTATATTTAAATAGTAACAGGAACTCTTCTGGCCTAAAAAATAGTTTTCCCTGAATAAGCAAGAAAATAAATGCCAAACAAATGTACTGGTTCAGAAAGAACATTTTTGAGAAAATCTGAAAAGGCACTCCATATAAATGACATACTAGATAATAATAATAAGGAAATTAAGTAACTAGGCTTTTTCACCTCCTATGTTCTGTTCATTAAAACTATTAAAGCTTTACTAAAATTGAAATACATCATTTTATAAGAAATTGATTTAAATAGATTAATAATGCATTACACAAAAAAGAAAACACTAAACCTTCTTTAACTTTGCAAAAGATGTCTATGAACAAACAGAAAATAAAGCTTCTGGTAGATGTATTCAGAGCTGACTGCTCGCAAAGCCCCACTGAAACAACAGAAGTATAAAACAAAACAAAACAAAACAAACAGGAGGGCAAAGAGGAAAAAAAAGAAACAGCAGTGGATGGGGTTGCCAGCCTATCCGGGAAGTCAGAAGACAGATGGAGGAGCAGAACCAACTGCTGGAACACAGGACAACAGCTGAGCGGGCGGCAGGCAGGAAGCGAGTCAAGGTGCTCCGCAGAGACCCGGCCAAGCCCACTACCTGGAGGCACCAGGTAATGCAAAGGGCAGGGGAGAGGCAAAGGCAGTATTTGAAAGTAGTTATTAGACCCTCTCAGATCCTCACCCTCTGCCCACCCTGTCAGGCAGCCAGCTCATAGGAGTGGGTTTCATTCCCTGGGGTAATGAAACCAGAAAGGCTCAGCAGCTGGGGACACCAGGCACCGGGGAGGGCAGGGGACGGTGAAAACAGAGGTTAAGCGAGAGCCCGCAATGAATGCTAGCCCCGCTCTTCCCAGGCCCCCAGGGCCTCTCCACCACTTAAAGAGCCTCAGCATCCAATGTAGAGCCCCCAGGCAAGAGATCAGGAGGAACCACTCGGCTTCCCCAGATGGGGCCTCCATACAAAAGTCAATTTGCTATCCAACCTCCCTAGAGTGAAGTATGCCAGATGACAAGGTATAAGCTTGTGCATATACACAGAGCTTCCAATCAGCTTTTTAGTGCCCAAAGGACAATTAGAGTTTACTAGGCTTTGGAGAAAAGACAGCAAATAAAAGACAAAGTCCAAAACAAACAAATTAAAAAAAAAGAACTTGGAGGAAATAAAGACAATACACAGCAAAAACTATTTACATTTTTAAAAAAGCTATAATTAATATCCTTAAAAGCACTGATATTATATACATGAAACAAGAATAGGATGTTAATTTTAATAAGTTAGAGAATAAGAGCTGAAATACATACTCAACAGAAGCATGGAAAGTTAATGTTGAGGAAATCTCCCAAAAAGTAGGACAAGAAAATACAGAGGGGCTATAGGAGGAAGAGAAACATGGGAAATAGAACATCAGTCCTGGAGAGCCAGCATCTAACTAAAAACCTGTCGAGAAAGGAGAACAGAAAACACAGGAGAAGAAGTTATTTGAAAAACCACCACCCAGCCTCCTTCTCTGATGCAAGAATCAAGAAAATTTCTCAGAACTAAAAGAAATGACTCTACAGATCAACAAAGACCTACTGAGCATCTAGAAAAAGGAATAAAAAGACACCCACACTAAAGTATGTCCCTGAAATTTTAGAATCCAAAGTTCCTAAAACCTTCCCATAGAGAAAAAATCAAGGCATGTTAAGGACTGAATATGTATGGCATTAACATCCCTGTATGCAGCACACAGTAGGCCTCAACTTGTTCCTGAATGAATGAATGAATGAATGCTCAGCAGCAACACTGGAAGCCAAACATAATGGAGCAATGTTTTCAAAACTGAGTCAATGAAGTCCAAGGGCAGAATAAGACATCTTCAGATCTCTGTATCTCAAATTTACCTTCCATTCCCTTTTACTTAGGAAGCTACTAGAGGACATGATTTAGGAAAATTAATGTAGAAGGAGAAAGTCATGGGGTCCAGGAGGAAGGGATCCAACCCTGGGGAATGGTGAAGGGACCAGGAGGGAGGCCACTGGAAACAAAACAACCAACAGACTGGCCGGACCACTGGACCATGTGGAAACCCTACTGAGAGGCACCAGAAAGATGTGGGAAGGGCTGGTGATAGTTACATAGAAATGTAAGCAATCAAAAGACCAAAGGAACAATTAATGATAGGAAAGACAATTCTTCACACAAATTAAGGGAACCTAATCAAAGTACATTACTGAACTAAGCAGGAAACAATAGTGACTAGTCATAATAATTCAAGCGCAGAAGCCGATGTCACCCAAAGTAAATGCCTTGCAAGGACAGGGGAGGAAGAGGAACAGTGAATGCTGCAAGTGTGAGAACTAAATCCTTATCTCTGTAACAAAAAACTATTAAAGTCCAACCACTGGTAAGTCAAACCATCACCATATAAGCACATTATTTAGAAACCGGGTGGGAAAGGTCAGAAGAGAAACTGAGAGGGTAGGTGGTTGTCAGCAGTGTGACAAGAAGACAATAGTGGCTGGAGCTGCCATGTTTCATTGTAACTCTTAATACTATGTATCTTTAAAACTATACTGTGTGTTGATGGGAAAAAATATATAGAAAGGTAAATATCAAAGAAAATGTGTAACATCTGATAAGGATTTTCTTTTTAGATTTCATTTATTTATTTTTAGACAGAGGAGGAGAGGGAGAGAAACATCAATGTGTGGTTGCCCCTCACGCGCCCCCTACTGGGGACACAGCACACAACCCAGGCACATGCCCTGATTGGGAATCAAACCAACGGCCCTTTTGTTCACAGTCTGGTGCTCAATCCACTGAGCCGCACCAGCCAGGGCTGATAAAGATATTCTTACTTCCCTTCCCCTACCTCCTGCCACAGTTAGCAATACTCTTCTGCCATTTTTGAACCTTCTTTTGACTGCAGTGGGGAGCCACACGGTGTGAAGGATGTAGTCTCATGCTTCACAGCTAACAACAGCTACCAGGCATTCAGAGAACAGGGTAAAACTAACTAGGGAGCAAGCAGTGCTTCTAGAAGTTGGACCAGTAGCACCAGCATCAGCTGAACTTGTAAGAGAGACAATGTTTCAGTCCCCACCCCACATCTACTCGAGCAGAAACACCAAGGGTGGGCTGCAGTACTTGGTGTTTTAACCAGGCGGCCAGGTGACTCTGATGCTTGTTTCAAGACTGAGAGCTACTGAGACAGAGGAAAACCAGGACCTGGAATCAGAAGACCCGGAATGTACCCCGACTATCACCAACGAGCTATGTGACCTCAGGCAGACCCTGCACCTCTGCATATTGATTTCCTTATGCATTAAATGACAGTGTTGGCTGAGATGACTAATGAGAACCCTTTTGGTTCTAGGCTATGATTTTTAACTTTAGATAGCTTATTTATAATAATGCCTAAATGCCCTAAAATCAGCTTCAGTAGTTATATAATTAAAGTGGTCTGTACCCAATTCCAACTAGGGATTGGATGGGGGGGGGGGTGTGGTTCCCCACACAACCAAGCAGTTCTCTGATACCACTCAGTGTCCTACAGTTAAACTCAATCCTGACACCATCTACCTGAGATAGAACCAGATTCCACAGGTTAGTGGCTCAGTCCTGCAAAACTGTCCTTGCCCCACACTTCAGATGCCAGCTGCAAGTCCAGGTTGTCTCCTGCACTTCTAACTGGCTTTGGGTCAGAGGTTCCAAAGACCTCCTCCCTGGGTTTGGTTAATTTGCTAGAGCAGCCCACCCAACTCAAAAAAACATATTACATACTAGTTCACCAATTTATTATAAAATGGTGTAACTCAGAAACAGCCAGATGGAAGAGATACACAAGGCAACGTATGGGAAAAGAACAAGGAGCTTCCACGCCCTCTACGAGCTTGCAACTCTCCCCAGATCTCTACCTGTTCCCCAATGTAGGAGCTCTCCAAACTTGTCCTTTTGGGTTTATATGGAGGTTTCTTTACATATGCATGGTGCGGATTCAATCACTGGCCATTAGGGATTAAATTCCATCTCCAGCTTCTTGCCCCTCCCTGGAGGTCTGGGTGGGACCGAAAGTTCTGACTCTCGAATCACCTGGTGGGTTTTCCTGGCGACCAGCCCCCATCCTTAGGTGCTTTCCCAAAGTCACCTTATCAACATAAGACACATTTATGCTCTCATCACTTAACACAATTCTAAGGGTTTTAGGAGCTCTGTGCCAGCAAAGGGAGGACCAAATATATATATTTCTTATTATAAATCACAGTATCATTTTCTCTGCCCTGGCTGGTGTGGCTCAGTGGACTGAGTGCCAACCTGTGAAGCAAAAGGTCACTGGTTTGATTCCCAGTCAGGATACAAGCCTGGGATGCGGGCCAGGTCCCCAGCTGGGGGACTGTGGGAGGCAACCAATCGATGTGTCTCTCACACATTGATGTTTTTATCCCTCTCTTTCTCCCTCCCCTCCCCTCTCTCTAAAAGTCAATAAATGAAATCTTAAAAAAAATAACTAAGTCACAGTATCACAATGATATGTGCTAAGCTTTTAAAAACATAATGGAAGGCAAACAGGAGAGTCCGATGACAGCGGACGCCACTCACAGCTTTTTTATCAGGCTGGCGGTCATCATAGCCGGTGGTGAGGTCCCTGATGCCAGAGATTTCAAATTTGCCACAAGTTTTCGGATAATTATTCTTCCCATCATAGTTTCTAAGGTTTTCAAATAATTTTTTAATGGTGTTTTGATCATGGCAGATAAAATATGAAGCTTTGGTAATATGGTAACCATACCTGTCAAAACAAATACAGGCAAAATGAGGAACGAATGATTCTGCATTGTACATACAGAACAGGCAGCAACCAGTATATTCTGAAATACTTAAATGAAACAAATGACCATGACTAGCTTCAAAGCGATAATTTAGCATTAAAGAGAGGTACAGCAATGTCTCCCAGGGATCACCCAACGGCTACCTTGCTTTCAGCCTCTATCTGTAGGGAAGATTTTTACTGGAGCACAGTCGCCCCACACCCCTACATTATGCGCTCTGTCTGGCTGCTTTCGAACTACAAAGTCAGAGTTGAGTAATTTCCATAAAGATTAAATAGATGTTTCATGAACACATTTAATCTTTTTTGGCATCACTTAAAATCACATTCGGCAACTAATGTTCTCATTTAGTAAAGATTAATGCCATCGCAAGTGGCAATCACTATTAAGTGGTTAAGTTTCAAAAGGAAAAGATAATCTCTTGTTTCATTTTCATAAGAAATAGTTTATAACTAAAGGAAGAGCATTAGAAAGACTATTAGTATCTCATACACAAGAACATAATACACTTAAGATATCACCACGTGTGGTGATGCATGTTATCTAGGCTTATTGCAGTGATCATGTCACAATATATACATCTATCATATTATTACGTTGTACACCTGAAACTAATCAAAACATATTACTTCAATTAAATAGAGTCAATAGAAACTTACTCAACATAGATGGCCTTTAGCTGCTGAGACAAAGACAAATTTTTGGTTGCTAGAAAGCTAGCCAACTCTGCGCTTATGACAGCAGCGCTGACTCCATCTTTGTCCAAAACAAAAGGGCAGCACATGTATCCTGCAGAAACACATGTCAGACATACATGCTTAGGAGTGGGTTCCTTTATAACCCAGGTCCCCAACCCCCGATACCAGTCTGTGGCCCATTAGGAACCGGGTCACACAGCAGGAGGTGGGCGGCGGGCAAGTAAAGAAGGTTCATCCTGATGCCCATCACTCGCATTACTGACTGAGCTCCATTCCACCCCCTCCCTAATTCCCACCCCTCTCTGGGGACAAACTGTCTTCCACAAAACTGGCCCCTGGCGCCCAAATGGCTGGGGGCCGCTGCTTTATAACACTGTGTTTGCATGTATCTATATGCATCCTGTTTCATAAGAGTTTGTACAGTATGAGTATGCGGATTTTTCTCGCTCACCCTTACCATATTTAAGAATCTAGCCCAGTGCTTAGCACATTCCAGGTCTTCAAGAAGTGTTTGTTGAATAACCTGTAAGGAAGTCTTCCTCCTAGACAAATGTGCTCTTCTCCTAGGTCCAGCCCAAATTCCTCCAGCTCCCACGAAATTGTTCCCAATTGTTCTAGTCAAGGCTGATTCTGTCTTCTCTAAATTCCCGTTGTTCTTCTGAGTTATATTATTCATCTTGACACCTGGCCTATCCTCTTTTATGTGGTTATTTAACTAGATCCTTAAAAGCTTCTGTAGGCTAAGGTGAATGAGTGTTCATTTCTTTCAGAATCACTGTGTAGTTGATAAGCAATACATATTTGATAAACCAATGTAAAACATTTTTTTAAATAAAAATCTATAGAAAGACAAGACTGACGATTGTAACAACAAAAGAGCAAAGCTGAGCAATTGTACTTCATTTGATAAATTAAATATGTGTACTGCAGGAAATAGACATATGAATCAGAAGAATACATATTATTGAATAAGTATAATGTGTCACAGGTTTTACTAAATGAATAGCTAAAACATCCCCAGCACAAACATCTGCATTTCCAGTTTCTATAGCTTGCTCTCCTTTCTGCTTATTTCTACTGACAGTTTAAGACACGTGCTTTTCAGTCATTCTGGCTGGGCTTGGGGTCATCCTTTCAGGAGACAATCACTTTGATGAAGGAATAGTTTCTTCTCCTCCGGACAGACCTCCGCATAGCACTTTCAGAGGCTGAGTGAACTGTTAGGCCTCGATGTCAACACCACAATTGAGGAAACATCACAACTCCTCAAATATGCGGATTCTTAAGCAACCAGCAGCCACGTGCAGAACACTACTGTTTTAAATCACCTGGGGAAAGGATTCGCTTGCTTACATTAGTGGCTTGGTTGCTTGTGAGATATTCTTTTTAGCTGAAAAAAAAAATCTGGGATGCCAATTTAAAGGTAGGACAGTTCAAGGCTCTTTGAATGCCACAGAAGCAAAGCAAACTGTGTGCTCCTATTTCACACTAATTTTTCGAACCCAAATCCAAATCCACATTTTTCCCTATGTATTTGCATCCTATATATTAACAAAGTCTATGCACATCATATCACTTCTTACCGATTGCTTCTTCAAATGCAAATAAGACATTTTTCCCCTGGTCTATTAGCTGTTTGGCTCGGTTTCCCATCCACTTAAAGCCAGTTAGTGTTTCCTAAATGGATAATCCGAAAGAGAAAGACATGTCTTAGACCTTCTACAGAGTGAAAGAAAGGGGAAGACCATGTCCGCCAGATGCCTTACCTCAAAGTGAAAACCCTCCTTTAAGGCAATGGCCCGCAGGATTTTGGAGGAGACGGTGCTGGACAACATGTACGTGTCTTTGAGGGCACTGTGATCTTGGTTCTTTTCTTTCCAAGAAGTAAAGAGCCACCAGCCCAAGAGGGCCCCCAACTCATTGCCTGAAAACACTCTCCATTCACCACTGAAAGAAAAAGGAAGCCATACCTGCTGTGATCTCCAGAGAGACACTGGGAGCCACTGGCACAGGCAATTAAGCCTAACACAGCTCAAAGCAATTTCTGGGGGACTGCTCTTGTTATTCCTATTTAAACAACTGGCCATAAATCTGACCATCACTTCACAAACATTTGAGCACATCTCTGCCAGTTTACCTAGACAAATATCCAGTCTTCGAAGAGCACATAAAATAAGTATGCCAATGATATATAATTCTTCTTCCCTTGGTCTTCAGCAATGTCTGTTTTTAAATGCAACAGAACTATGCTGACAAGATCCCCCAAGTATAATAGTGTGTATATTTTGATTTTCAGCCAGGATTGCTGGTTCTGAGCAGGCAGTGGCTTAGCCCTCCGTAAGGCCGGGCTCGGAGCTGCCACGGGGAGAGCGCCAGAAACACAGGCGAGATTCATCGTCTTCTCTGTGGGTCACGTGGCTAGAAGTACAACTCACATTTCAGTACATATCCCCTTAGCTTAATTTTCTATAAACTGATACAGAATTTTTTCCACAAACTGGTATAGAATCAAACCTGTTTGATCATACTCTAAAGCCCTAACCCTCTGGTAACATTCTGCTATCCACCAAACATCATATATGCCGTTTGACACCCAAAACTGCTTGAAAACCCTGCCTACCTTTTGACCCTGCTCGCCACCTACCTACCCCTCCTCTCCACAAACTCTACAGTCCAGCTCGCCTTAGACACTGTGTCAGTATTCCACAGGTATTCCGCCCTAGTCTGCTCAACATAAATTCATCTTTTCCTTGAAGGCCCAGCTTCTTTCCGAACCCACCAGCAAATACAGAACTACAAAGCCGGCAGTAAGCAAAGTATTTTGTGCTCATGAGGCACTGAGTCATGACCATAATATAATCAATGATATAATGAAGGAAGGTAACAGTAATTTCAGTTCCAGGTTCATACTGGGCGGGTTTAAGCTGTGTCATGCTCACACAGCAATTGTGTGGCCCCGTATTGGCACCTTGCTCTGTGTTGGAGGACTTGACAGAAATTCACTGAGATGATCATTTGCAGAGTAAATGCCATATATTTCCAAAAAGGTCCAGACTCCCCAGAAACATGTGACTGCCAAAGAGGTCACCCTTTATATTTTCTATTATGTAGGTAATCATAATTAAGTGTTACCTGTCTTGCTTTTCTGCCACAGCAAGTCTATCAGCATCTGGGTCATTTGCTAAAATGATTCTGGCCTTGACTTTGTCAGCCAAAGCAAAGGATAAAGTCTGAAAGAGAGCAGAAAAAGGAGGACTTCAGCCAAGAATCAAGCATTTTGCAGTCTTTGAAAACGTTCAGCTATTTCAGAACTGAAAGAGAACTTTCTCTAAACTAAGGCTGAATTTTATTTCTAGAGCTGGTCTTGGCTGGTCACATGTTGCTTCCTCAGCCAAGGGAGACCAAGGGAGCATCAGCCCGTGACCCAGGCCCGCCCTTGCGATTCTCCCCACGTTTGACAGCGTAGGTGTGGCTGGACTGGCATTTCCAGGCTTTGCCTGTGATCAGCCTCACACACAAACCAAAATAAACAGACTCACTGAATATCATTGTCACCCTACCCTTTAAAAAGGTTGAAGGTACCATAATTTAAGTAGTACTCCTTCATATCAGAAAAATGATAATAAGGAATAAGAATCATGGGATAAACTTCCATTCTATCACTGTTTCTTTTTTGGTATTAAGGAAGCACAGTAACTTAAATTTAATTAATTAAATTAAATTTAAAGCATTTAGACTTCAGCCCTCATATCCTGATGCTAAGCTAATCTAATTGGAAAGTTCCTTTAAGAAATGGATGAGAGATTAATAAATATAAATATTTCCAATGATGAAATTATTTTTGCTCAGTGCAATGAAGGCACATAAAAACTTGTTTTACTTGCTAGACATAGTTTTGAATATAAGTGATAAATTTTATAATTAAAGATATTAGGTTACCAAGACACCTTTACCCTCTTCGGGATTTGGGTATTTCACGGTTGGGAACTCAGGGTCTGGATCTTTCTGTTCGGGAACAGCCTCGGGAGGAACGAAGTCAAAAGCCCTGAAAGCCGACTGCACGAAGCGGTGACCCACGCCATGGACAGAGGTGTGCACGAACTTCAGCTTGGTCTCCTTGTTCACACTCCTAGAGTCAGGCACATTGTGGAAAATGATGAAGTATACAAACGCGACTCTCAAAACTGGAAGGTTTGCAAAATACCAAGGAACCAGGTCCCTCAGAATGTAAGACATCAATGTGACACAAATGTGCAAGACCACAAAGGATTTTTCTAATTCCATTTTTTAAAAAAAAATGAAATAAAACTTACCTCCCCTCTCCCAAATATAATAGCCCTCTCCCAACACATTCAAGTTTTGAATTTTACACTGTAGTTATTTTCAGCAACTCTGATTCCTGTCAGTTTGTTTAATGATACAGCATTCACACCTGGAGCAGGAAAAAAGTACAAGCCCAGGGCTCAGGCTCCAGCCCATAGTAATTATCTGATGCATAATCAACACTCAATTAGCATTGGAAATCACCTGTTAAAAGTAATGTTTCCAATTGGTCAAAGAAGGGTGGGTTCTTCAACTTAATATGTTGGTACAAGTGCAAACCTCTTACAAAAAACCTAATTTGCTTTCCTACTTCACAACTCATACAAAATTAAAAATCACCAATGACTCAAAAGATTTAAACATTACAAAATATAAACATGCAAGTCCAAAAAACAGGGGCGGGGGACTTTTTATAATCTTGTTGTAAAGAAAGTCTTCTTAAGTGTGGCATAAAAACCCAGAAGTCATAAATTAAAAAACTGATAAACATAAAATTTTTTAAAAGTTCAGCAAAAAGATTCAATAAAAAATTCCCAAGGTAACAATGGAAAATAATATTTGAAAATAATGAAGTCTATTTTTCCATATAAGCTAGGAGTTTCACAAATGAAAAGAAAATGAACAAATACACATAGGTTAAATGAATAGGAAAAACCACTTATTTATAAGCATGCAAATAAAGTGAGATATCCCTTCATCTAGCAAATTGGGAAACATGAGAAATTTGATAATACTCAGTGTAGGTAGGAATGTGTGGATCATACACTGTCGGTGTGAATGCCAACCACTCTACCATTTTTGGAGAGCAATTGTAAGTGATTATCAACATTGTAAATGCATATACAATTCTGATGCCAGAAATGTACCTAAAATACACGTTCCATGGAAATGTGTATCCTTAGGTGCGCGCACAGACACCCGCCCCCACAAGTACTCCAGTAACTGCTCAAGAGCTCCGTGGAGTAGCCCCAAACTGGAAGCCCTTAGTCTTTGTGAAGTTGAATCAGAGGATGGAGGGAAGGCTTGCAGTTGTGTTTTGCTGTGAGGTGAGTTTACAATCGGTTTACCTGTGAAAACAGTATTTTTTAAGGTCTTCATAGTAGTCCTTGTCGATGGAAGCACTTGGATCGTGAAGAAGGGGGCTGCCATCGATTAAGGAATCATCCCAAGCTTGAGGCCAGGGCTCTAGATTCTCTTCAATAGCTTGAGAAATCCCTTTATCATGAGGAGAGATGATCTGAGCTCCATTATCCCAATAGACCTGGAGATGCAGGGACACATCCAGACGGTTTAGGGGTACTGGGAAAGCACCCAGACCCTGTGCTCCCAAATTGTAAAGGTTTACGCTTTACATAGAAGGACAAACATTTGGACACAAAAATAAACGTACCTTATAACCATTATCCTGCTTTGGATTGTGGGAGGCCGTGATCATGATTCCAGCACAAAGTTTCAAATGAGATACCGTGTAAGGCTGTCAAAGCAGGAAACAAGCACAGTTTTAAACAAACACATTAGGTATATTTAAAGTATCTATTGTATATTGTTTGTTTATACCAATTTGTTCCCATTTAGTAAACATAATATATAAATATCAGAATGTGTCATTCAATGTTTTCATGCCACCCCCAAGCAGTATACTTTTTTTCAAGGTGACATTTAATCCTCACCCAAGGATATGCTTATTGATATTAGAGAGGAAAGGAGAGGGAGGGAGAAAGAGAGAAATATTGATGTGTAAGAGAGAAATATCAGTGAGTTGCTTTCCTTAGGAGCCCTGACTGGGGATGGAACCTGCAACCTAGGTACGTGCCCTGACTGGGAATCAAACCCACAATCTTTTTGGTGTATAGGATGACGTTCCAACCAACCGAGCCGCCTGGCCAGGGCCCAAGCAGTGTACTCCTTATTACCCTTAGAACTAGCTCACTGCTCAAAATTCTGGGATATGTACCCTGTTAAGAGAGGAGAATATTTTCCTAGGTACCTTCTTCTTGGTGTCTTCTACTTGGCAGAGCTAGAAAACCCTCCAAACCTTAAGGTGGTCTAATCTTCCATTTCATGTTCATTTAAACCTTCTTCTTGGGACAGAAGATTCAGTTTATTTCCTCCAAAGGCTTTCTCTTCTTCCCTACCCCCGACCCCCACTTGCTTTTAAGAAAAAGGCTGAAGAAACAGAGAGGACTCTTATACCCGGCTCATTTACTTCCACTCCTGAAGAAAATCTCCCTCTCTTGTATTTCCATGTGGCTCCCATCTCTACATACGTCTCAAAGTAGGGAGAGGTTCGGCCTGTCCCCGCTGTGGGTGCACATGAGATTTGTCATATACAGGCAACCCGAGATTCTAACCATCTGTCCCACTAACAAGCTCTGTGGCTGTTTGTCCCCTTAGGAGTTACTTCCCATCCCCCATGTGTCCTGGAGCAAACAAAAGGGGAGAGCCACTCCACAGAGAGGGAAGTGACCACGAGACACTCATTTAATGCATGTCCAAAATAAAAATAACTGTTAGTAACACTTACAGAGTACAGAAGACCAAGGAAGCTCGAAAATATTGCAATTTTTCCAGCCAACAAGAAAACCAGGACCATGTTTGCATGTGACATGGAGTGTTCCCTGGGTTCCTAATTCCACAGTCTTGAAGGTGCTGTATCTGCCGGTCAGTGCACTAGAGGCAGTCAACGCAAGACCGACGGAGGCTGTTTCTCCTGTGTCTGTACACTTTTATTTCCACTTGATGTAAGCAACTGCATTCAGGTCATGTTTTTAGCTTCATTTCTAAAAAGCGTATTCTTAGCATCTGGCCCCACTTTTAAAAGTTCTATCTACTTAAAAACAACAGCTGCCACAGTCCCTCTGGTCCTTTCCTCAGAGTCTGCTACATTAAGTATTTGATTAAAATCTTACTAAAACCTGACACGCATGCGTTCTGTACAGGCCATGAATAATATTTAGAATGTACATTTGTATAAAGAGCTGGTGCACCATCTTGTGAAAAATATTCATGGCAAGACATGATGGGAGGGGAATTCAGATTTAGATACAAGAAGTGTTATAGCTGGGGGAAAGAACTACAAACCGTACAGGAAAAAACCACAAACAAAAGGCATTTTGCTCATTAGCTAAAATATCCTTGGAATGATAGCAAAAGGAAAATTGTACTAAAAAAAAAGAATCAGTTCTGATGAATCAAAATTTGAACACCAGAGAAATGTTCCTGGGATGCAGGAGAAACATTCCTGGAGAGAGGACAGGAGGCCCCATAAAGGCCCCGGAGCTCTTCTGTCACTCAGACACCTGACTCCTGGCAGCACGGGAGCTTGTAAAGTTCCACCACGTCCCACCCCCAACCTGGTGACAGAAATTATAAAACGAACCAGCTACTTACCACAAAAGGAGTGGGGGTAATATCAGAAAACAGGTGCACAGGAATCCCCTGAGTGATAAATGTGGTTGCAGCAAGTCGGGCAAATCTGGAGAGGCCGTGTGACAGGGGAGAAGGGAGAGCAGAGTCATCAGGACCACAGGTGACAGTAAAGAAGGAAGCGAATGCCCGGCCCGGCCACGCCATTAGGCTGAGTGTAGCAGCCACACAAAGCCAAACGTTCATTCTATTTCCATTGGTATCGACCCATGAAGCCGGATAAACCTGAGGAGTCATCTTGTGCTACACCTTTGTTTTTATGGAAATAAGACTCAAGTCGAGAAAGGCCAGGGAACGGGCCCCACGTCCAACAGTCACCAGCAGCGGAGCCAGGCCTCCGCCCAGGTCTTTCAATGGCCTGCCTGTCTCAGCGGTGCTCGCCTGAGAGAGATTCTGCCCCCATGGGGCATCCGAAATGTCTGGAGACACTTTTGGTTGTCACTGGAAGTAGGGGTAAGGTTCTACTGGGAGTCAGTGGGTGTGAGTCAGGGATGTTGCTAAACACCCTGCAAGCCCAGGGCAGTCCTTCACAATGGACAATGATCTGGTCCACTATGGAGCCACAGGCCAGCAGTGCGACGCCGAGAGACTCTAGCCTAAAGCTATCACAACTCAGTATAGGCCATGCAGAGTAGCACTTGATTAGATGGTATCATATTGGCAGGTGTATGTATGTGTATGGGTGTCATATATATGTATGCGGCATACATGCATGACATATTTACATCCTGCCTCCAATCAGCCCTTAAAAAAGGCTTAAATCTTTGTCACAGACATTTTCTCTTAACTTCTACAGCAACCAGCTTAAGGCAGGACACATGGGATCAAGTCTTCCTTCATGCTTGGGCTAAAATATGTGACCACAATAAATAAGCACTTTACTTTCTATGAACAACATTAGACCATCACAGAATTAACCTGATCATTCATTCTCTCCCCAGATTCTGGGAGTTGGTTGGGCACCAGAGACCTCTGCACTTTCACAACTGAAAATCCTAGGATCGAGCGTAATACAAGGATGATTTTGACAGGGGAAAAAAGGTCTCTACATAGGGGAAAGTCATAAAAATGCCAAAATTCATCAAAAACAAGTTTAATAAAAATCTGAATTAAACCTAAACTCTATTTACGTGAATGAATGGCATGGAATTCACCTTCACCCTCATGGAACATTGACCATGTGTCAGGCTGACCCCAATGTTGGCAAAGGAGACACTCAACACACAGGATGGGGCAAAAGGAGGTTTACAGGTGTGAGCATACAAAACAAGGGGTTTATTCTTGTAGAATTATTTAGTAATTACTGTATATAATTACTGTAATTAATGTACTGTTCATATAGAAAATGATACAGTAATTACTAAATAATTCTATAAAGATAACCCCCTTGTTTTATATACTCACAACTGTAAACCTTTTGCCCCACTTTGTATGTATGATTATATACATGATATGAATGTACTGAGTCACAAATGTGCACACACAAAAAATTCAATGTGTCCCTCTGCATGTTTCACAATTATAACTATGTCCCCCACCTGATATTTAAAGTTGGAAGATTAAAGAACAAATAACCATTTCCTTAGGTAAAATTCTGAGAGTACAAGAGTATCTGGCCCTTTAAGAAGATTCCATCCCCGCTGATCATGCCTGCTTTGCCACATTTGATGTTTAGGTTGTGATCTCCAACTGTCTGCATGTGGTAGGTGACAGCAGCCCTGGGCACCACCCCACCCAGTGCTGACCCTTGAACCATAACTTAAGCAGAATTAATGACATCAGTTACTTTTTAGAAACAATGTAGCTCCAAGGCTAGAGCAAGAAGTATCTGTGCCTGAACCGACAATGTTAACATATCCAAAGGATGTGTGTCAACCAGTAACAGGGTAGTCAGCCTCACAAGAAAACATCCGAGAAGCTAAACAGCCAGAGTTCGTATACGCCACACACGCGCACCGGACATGCTCTGTTGGGGGCCTGCCCTGCTGCCAGGCCGGTGAGGCATGCGCACGACCTAATTCTAATTCTAACCATGAGTTCGTGGACTGAAAACTGATCGACTGACATTCCGGTTCGCATAGCATCACTCTCTTGTAAAGGTGGTTCATGTGCATCTCTCCCTGAGAGCTACAGCTTCTCTCTTGCTTTGTTGGAAAATAAATCACATTTCTGAGCCTGCAGCTGAAGGCCAAAAATCTTAGATCATCCTGTGTTCCATCTGGGGACTGACATCATCCAGTCCTTGGACCTGACCAAGCTCCCTTCCTCACAGCTGCACATGTGTTCCCATTAGTGCTTTTCTCTTAGACCATAAAGCTCCTGAAAGGCAAAGATTAGGGCTCTATGAACTCATCCACCACTGTAAAGTTAATGAGAATTTCATTAATGTTAAATATTTGCACGTTCTTCCAATCTAAGAAACTACTAACACTTATGCTCTGAAGCAATAAAAGAATTCATAATAGGGGAAATATTCAAGTTGTTTTTTTTTTTTTTTAAAGGCTCTACTACGTGATTAAGAGCAGGGATTGGTAAGCTACAGCTCATTTTGTAAATAGGGTTTTACTGGAACATGGCCATGTCCATTTCATTACGTACTGGCTATGGCTGGTTTTGTGCCATACGGCAAAATCCATAGCTGTGACAGAGAGTGTATGACCCACAATGTGTCAGATGTTTATTAGTTGCCCTTTAGACAGAATGTTGTCCAGCTTGTGGTGTTAGCCTCTTTATGCTTACGTTGTGGGTCCTTCTTTCCCTTTCTGATCTTAGAGCAGAGATTAAGGTACATGCCCTACAGACTGCTTGTGAGGGTTCAATGAGGAAGTACCTGCATGCCTAGCTCACACCCAGCACTCAGGTGACTGCTCTCCTATCCTCACCATCACCATCATCGTGACCATCATCATCCTCTCCCTACAGCTACAGCAGAGGGAGTCCCATTGGTGTGTGAATGTTACAAGAATACAGCTTGAAATGGGCATTCAAGAATGGGGACGAGCTCATGAGGCGTATGAGTAGTGGGAGAAAAAAATTACATAAAAGGAAGAAAATGAGAAGAAATAAGGTTGCTGCATAAAAAAAAAGGTCTTTCAAGCCCTTGCTGGTGTGGCTCAGTGGACTGAGTGCCAGCCTGAGAACCAAAGGGTTGCGGGTTCGATTCCCAGTCAGGGTACATTACCGCGTTGTGGGACAGATTCCCAGTGGAGGGCACATGAGAGACAACCACACATTGATGTTTCTCTCCCTTTCTCCTTCCCTTCCTGTCTGTCTAAAACTAAATAAAATCTTTTTTTAAAAAAGTCTTTCATTTAGACATGTATTTGATTCTAAATTGTCGAAATAATTTCATTTTCTTAACCCAAATGTAAAACCAGAATTTTTAAAAGTTGCAAACAGAATTTACCCATCATTTTTTGTAGTTAAGCAATGCAGCTGACAAATGTTTTTCAAAGGCATGCTATTGAATTAATGATTAAAAATAAAGCCACAAAACACACTGCAAAGAAACAGAGTATCTTGAAATACCTTCTGCTGCTGCCTCCACTTGCTGGGTGAGCTCGAGCGTCAAAGCTGATCACGACACCTCTTTGCTTAAGGTCACTGAATTGTTTTTCAAGATATCTGCAAAATCCCTAAAAAATACCCCACAGATTAAAGAGTATATATGTTTTAACATGTCACAGGTATATGATAAATTGGTTAATTTTTCTCTCCTTCCACAGGAGAACATTGTAGCAGAGAGGGGAGAAATTGCTCAGCAATTAAACAAGGTGAACAACAGGAAAACAAAAACTTTATTGCTAATCTATATGTATCAAGTACTATGCTGGACACTTAATATCTAAAATCACTAACCCCAGATGCACTTCGCCAAGAAGTTCCCTTTTACAAAGGGGAAACTAAGGCTCAGGGACTTGTCCACATACACGAGTAGCAGAGCCTGGATTGTTCCCCAGGTCTGGTTAGAGGTGGTTCAGTGCTGGGTTACGAGCACACAGTGTGGGTTTGAACTGCATTCCGCCACCTATGAGCAAATGACAAGTTCCTTAATCTCTTGGTGCCTCAATTTCCTCTTCTGTGAAACAGGAATAACAATAGTACCTACCTCCACAGGCTTTTATAAGGATTAAATGAGTGAAATATGCCAAGTGCTGAACGCCAAGAAAGTACTATGTGTTGCTGTTGGAGCATTATTTTTTTGTTGTTGTTTTTTTCCTTCAAAGCCTGTACTCCTTTTTACACTAGTTCTAGCTGCCTGAGGACAGGGGGTTGTTTTAGGTATTCCTGCCGGCTCTGTACCATCACTAGGTCAATGAAACTCAATGCATTTGATAAGATTTTTACAACTGATTGATCTAATGTGTTCTGTTTGTGATACTGTTTTTCAGCAGGTCTTAAGAAGGCGACGCCAGTCCAAATACATGATATAGCCAATTATACAAAGAAAAAGTATGCAGAATCTGGGCTAGCACACTTGCTAAAAATGAAAGAAGTCACAATTCCTGTGTTGCAGTGGGTACAATAAAATCATTTTAATCTGAAATGAAAAAGATTAGAAAATAGCAAACTTTGAACTTAATCAGTTCAGAATAGTGGATAAAACTGGTTTTTATCACAGAGCAAAGAGAATGAAGGTTGATTGGGTAATAATGATGGTTCATATTACTTATTTTACTTTCACTGAAGAAAATCATTTTTGGTAGGGAGGATACTTCACAGCTTTGTTACCAGGGTAGGGCCCATTTAGAATGCCTTTAGTTTTTCCTAGACAAAAAAAAAAAAAGAAAAAAAGAAAAGAAAAAAAATAGTGCTTTGGGCCTATCTTCTGAGGTCAAGTGATACAAAGAAATGAAGACACACGTGTATTGGTTTTGAGGGTTCCCAAGAAGGAAATGAGCTGCTCACACGCTAAGGCTTACAGCAGTGATAGCACCCTCTCCCCATCCCTAGTTATTCCTGTCTTGTGGCCCCAAAGTTCAAGGGGACAAAAAGCATTCAGTCTTGGTCCAAAATTCGCCCATCTCCAAATTGTCTGAAAAGACTCTGGGGCCTGCTGAGTCTAAGGACCCAAGAGAATGGCTAAGAAAAGACTCAGTGAGGGATGAGGGAAGTTTTGGGAATTGAAATTTAAATGTTATCCTCAGACACAAGAAATAAACTTTGTATGGCTCTAAAAGGTCAAGCTATGTATGACCCATATGTAAAAGCTACAGAAAGACAGATTTGGACTCAAAATAGTGAAACCATTCTTTAATGACAACAGTCCAAAGATGGAATGGCTATTTCAGAAGACACTGAGCTCTCCATCACTGATGTCTTGTGACTTGGTTAGGTAACCTAAGAGGAAATCGTGACCTCTGTGAACAAGGCAAACAATACAAAAAAGTTTCCCTGCAGTCTCTATCCTGTTTCCCTTTGGGGTGCTCTCACATACATCTGCTTCTTAAATCCACCCAGACGAACGTCGGGGGCACCATTAGAAGCATCCACACCAGAGACTAGGAAGCAGGCAGGGCGCTGAGCTTAGGCTAAAAGCCAGCACATTCCTGGGTCACACTCCCCGAGGCTAAGGGGGATGTCTGGGGGGTTTCTCCTGGGAATCCTTTTCTTCTGATTGGGAAACTACTCCTAAGGTTTTAAAAGTGCCCCGCTGCTCTTACAACATTGTCTTAACTCTTAACATGCCTGTCTCCCGTGGTAAGTGTTCCAATGTCAGCTAGATGGCCGCTTCGGAGCGCTAGGGATTGTGGGCGAAATGATCCCAAGGGGTAGCTGACCGAGGGACGTGCCTTTTAAGGGACACACTCATTTTAGCTCTGAGGCTTTTTAGCATCACAGTGTCTCTTCCCAGAGGAGACCAGTTCCTCTGCGAGGAGGAACGATGTAGGTCCTAAGGCCATCCTGCGGCTAGGCCACCTCATTCCTGGGGACTACAGAGATGAACGCAGGAGAAGGGACCCCACGTTCATTAAAAAGCCCACAGAATCCCCTACAATTAGGTCTAATCCAAGGAGTGACCAACTGAATTTTCCAAAGATGGCCACACCAGTATGTCCCATCCCATGGGCTCCTCTCATGAAATGAGATACTCCTTCAATGAGAGGTGGGTGTCTACATACCGTCTCCTTAAATATGAGCAGCCTTACTGACTTGCTTTTCACAAATACAATATGGTGGAAGTGAGGGATTTGAGGTGACTTTCAAGGTCAGGTTGTAAAAGTCAATATAGCCTCCACCTGGCACACGCCCTCTCTCTGGATGCCACCCCAAGTCCCATGCTGTAAGGAAGCCCCGGCCACACAAGCAGGGGTCCAGCGCCAGCTCAGATCTCAGCCAAGAGCCAGCAACAACTGCAGGCATGTGAGCGAGGGAGCTTTCAGGTGACCCCAGGCTCCTAGCTGGCCCAGGTGATGCCATGTAGCAGAGATTAGCTGTCCCCACTGAGCTCCACTCACATTATAGATCTGTGAGCAAAATAAACTGTTTAAAATCACTGTTTTGGGTGATTTGCTCTACAGCCCCAGGAACTCCTCTTATTAGGGTTTTGCTACAACACGCCCTGTTGCCTTCCATGCTGGGGGGTACGCGTAAGGTACGCGTCATCACCGCAGTCAATTTCTCCAGCCTTTTCTTTCTGAGAATTAAGGTGACCACAATTTTTCACAGGTCTAAGTAGTTGAAGAGACAAAAGAATATGTTCTCCTTCTTTTCCCTCATAAACAGACCTCTCCCTACTCAGTGGCAGCTCTTCTGTTTTGTCAAAGGCTTCATCTCTGTTCCTAAAAGTTGGGTCTAAACGCTAATAAAATTCACAAACGAAGGCAAGAGAACTCAGCAATGATTTCCACCTATGCTACACATGAACCCTACAGAGAATTGGCTGGCAGTTATTATGGCAGTTTAAAAAGCTTTTCAATGCGTGAGTCTGTACAACTGTAACAAACATGAATTTGCACTGGAATGAAAGATGCATGAGCCTGTTTTACTCATTATTATATTCCCAGTGCCTGGCACATAGTAGGCACTCAATAAACCTCTGTTAAATGAATGAATGAATAAATCATGGGTTTTGAAATGAGTACTGCTTCAACCAACTGCGCAAGCCTTACTTTATGGAGTAAATGTCTGTCTCCCTGTGCCTGGACAATCCCACAAGACCTGGCCATAATTAAAACAAATGAGGCCTGTCAAATACAAAGGGAGCCCAGGGTTCAATTCATCACACAACGAGGCCATTGGACCGAAGTGGAGTTAATGCCTTAGTAGCCTGAGTAAGCAAACCAAAACCTGTTAAGCAAATCAAAATCTAAGCCTGTAAATGCCTCAAGGTTAAGAAATTAAACCTAATGACAACCAACCACAAATAGCCACCTGAGCTTTCCCCAGTAAGGTAACCGCTTGAGCTGTAGCCAATCTATTAATCTCCTTGCTTTGCTCCTGCCTCTTCCCAATAAAAGTCTCCCTCCTAGCCCCTGTCAGAGCAGGGCTTCTAGCCATTGCCGGACTGGTACTGCCCGATTCAAGTAGAGTTTTGCTCAGATAAACTCTTCAAGTTTTGAATATGCCTCAGTTTATCTTTTAACACTAGGAGTATTTAAAGATAACGAAGCCATATAAAAATGCGGTACCTGTGTGGTCTGGATGATGGTCAAGTCGTTCATCCGAGAAATCCCCGCTCCCATAGCAGCTCGGAGGCCGGCTGTCCCAAACTCCATGCGGGCCCCGAAACATTTCTGCAGTTCTTCTTTATTGCCTTCTGCAATCAGTTGTTTCACTGACTCCAAAGTTAAAGGATTCTGCAAAACACAAATGTAGATACCAGATCCAGCCAGGTAAATAACAGGATGAAAAATCTGAAATTAAACAAACAAACAAAAAAATCCACAATAATTCCACCTTGGGCAGGGGGAATCTATCTACCTATCTACACTTTTCAATATTTCCATATTTTGATCCTTTTTAAATTTGAAATATAAAGTCTTTTTTGAATTATAATGAGTGATATTATGATTAATAAGAAATATATATTTAGTTTTAGAATAGTTTAGGATAGATTTAGGATATATATACCCCTATATATATATCTATACACATATATATATAGGGGTATATATATAGGGGTAGTCCAAAGTAGGTTTACAGTGTTCATATGAAAAAAGACATGCAGGTTTTTATTATTATAATAGCTTTCTTAAGTCTGTTTTGCATACTCACAACTATAAACTTACTTCTGCCCACCTCTGTATTTAGTCTTTCCCTTTATAAGTATTATTTTATTTCCTACCAAGGTAAGCAATTTGGAAAAATGGAATGGACTTAAAGGTTGTGGGGTCTAAGACGCCAGAATGATATCTCAGCCATACCACCACTCCCCAACGCTATTCACTGGGGTTTACAGTCTAGAATGTTCCTTAGAAGATGATTTTGAGGTGGTGTTACATTAAATTAATGTAACACCTCTTTCTCTGCCTGGTACTTAGTTGTAATCAAATGTTCATTTTCTTCCCGAATGTATTCAAATTTTCCCAGAGAGTGAAAGTTATATGATTTTAAACCAAAACCTTATTTTCTGTAGTGTTTTTGAACTTGTACAATGATTTCACATACCAGGCCAAATTTGAAATAATGACTTCAGGAGGCAAATGACAAAAACCCCATTTTACAGATGGAGGCACCTCTGAGATGAAGAGACTTGCTTAGACTGCATGTTACACATGAATTCTGTGCCTTTATACTCACTGCTTCAAATAGACATTCCCATGAATCATTTAAGTTCACTTTACACTGCTCTTTTTTCTTTGTACAACAACTGCAGAAAATGTTAAGAATGGAGAAAAATGGCAATCACATCAATTTCATACCAGATATTTTGAATTAAGAATTCAGAAGAGTAACAGCGTAAGTACTTTATTTCTATTTACAGTCATTATCTCACTAGATGAGCATGCAGGCAAGATGTAGCTACGTAATTAAACTTTGAAATGCTATTACAATAAAACCTTGGCCTTTTGGAATTAAGCCCACATTTCCCGATTGTTCTAGAATCAAGAGGAATCAAGTGAAAGCCCGCTTTTTAGGTTAAAAGCAAAAGCCCCTGAACACAGAGCACAATCTGACCAATCAGATTGGCAGGTGCCCCCAGTGGAGGGCTCAGGTCTGCAACTTAAAAGAGATTCAATCAATATTTGCTGAGCGAATGGGAAAACAGGAACTTTAAGGCCACACCCAATGTCCGGTGATTCTCAGTGTTGATGTGGAAAATCCTAATTGGCCTTGGGTATCTATAAAAACCCCATTAATTGACCTTTAGTATCTATAAAAGTCCAGTAACAGCCTGAGAAAAACCAAAGGAGTTGAGATAAGAATGAAAAGTCCAGAGGTTCTCAGAGGTGAGAATCAGCCGTGGGAGTGACCGAAGCTGACAGCAGCCGAAGGAGAGGGTGAAGGCTCACTGGAAATGCAGGGCAACCTGCCGCGCCCGGGGGCTCAGGCCAGAGGCTACAAAGCTTTTAGCTAGCAGGAAGTTCCCTCGTGCTGCCTGTCTCAAAACAAAGAAGAAATTGGGAGGAAAGAAGAGAAGTGGTAGAAATTAAAAAGGACAACTCCTCACCTCTGCCCAGGGAATGGACAGATAGAACATTTTGTGGACATCAGGTGTTGTTTCTGCAAAGGGAAAGCTCTATGGAGCAAGTCATTACCACCTAAAAGATTTCTACAGGTTGCAAGTTACTAAGTTATCAGACATGGAAACATTTTCCTTCCTAAAGAACTGCAAGGCAGTCTTTTCAGGGAAGGTAAAAACCACCCACAGTTGCCAATGACATTCAAACAGGCTTTTCAAGCGCAGGGGCCAGAAGGTAAAGAGGGAGTCACGAGACCCAGCCCTTACACAATCTTCTTCACTTACTCAACAACTATTTTAGGTACAGGTACCTCACCCCCCCCAGCCCCCTTTTCGAAAGTTTGTGTTACAAAAGACCTATTAGTGTCTGTTTTTGCTAACTGAAAGAAATCTAAAGAGGATTTTTGCATTTACAAAAAAAAAGTGGAAACAGCAATCAGCGGGGTTTGGCAGCAGCCATTATAGAGGCAGCGCCCGCCCCGCTCCTCCCCTGGGAGCTACACTCAGCATCTCAGCGTCAGGCCGCCAGAGCTGTGAACTGTGTCTGTGAGCATCTGTGCTTCATCGCAGTTTGTTCCGTGCGCATCTGTTAGCAAGATGCGTCCTGAGGTATCAGCAAAACCTAAGAGCTCATAGGGAGCTAGCATGCAACTGGACGTAACTGTTTTGGTCATGATGACTGAAATAACAACGTTGTGTGTGTGCTGAATTTGCCTGCATCCACCACTCATGCTATCCACACTCAGAGAAAGAATCTTGACAGCTGCCTAAGTTCCTGTTGGTTCCTGCCAGTCGCAAAGTGGTCTCTCCAATAATGAACAAGACAGAAAGTCTGTTGCTAGAGTGGATCCACAGGTGTACAAAGCATGGTGTATATTTATCGTATCATTCCTGCTTTTGCTATATTTTAGGGTTATTTTAGGCTTTGTGTGTTATATGGTATCACGTGGTAGGTTATTTTGGGGGTCTAGAAATGCTGAAAATATTTTCCATGTAAATTAATGGTAACGGCTTCTTTGCTTTCTGCCCTTTGAGCTCACCCAAGGTTTCACAGGGGAGCTCTCCTTTCGGAGGGTGGGGAAACCCTGCATCTGCTCTGTGTCTGCACTGTATGAACCGTGAAAGTTCGTGGAGGTCCTGCTACATGGCTTGATGGAACCCAGTGCTAAATAAAACACGGGGCCCCTCCCTCAACAATGGTTAAGAATTTCAAGACAGGACAGCAGAGTATTTAACCCAGTGCTGGGCCCCCCTAGAAGGGGTCCTGTGCAACCCCTCATGGGATCTCATGCCTTTGAAGCCAGCCCTGGAGATATTAAATAAATAAACCTACGAACAAATCCCATCCGTCCCCTCCTCCTCCTCCCACCCCCAATTTCAGTAAGAGCTATGAAGGAAAAGAACAGTCTGTTAAGGGAGAAATCATTTACCCTTAGGAGCCAGAGAAAGCCTTTCTACAAAGGCCTCATTTAAGTGCGGATCCGAAACAGGAGCAACAACAGGAGAAACAAGTTCAGCAGAAGAGAGAAGAGAACATTCCAAGAAAACAAAGAGATGCCGGAAAGAACAAAGAGGAAGCCGGAGACTCCAAGTTGGAGAGGAGAGAGGGAGGCCAATCTAGAGTTGGCTTCCCGATTCTCTCTTTGCTCCAGCATCTAAGAGAGTGAATACGGCGAAGGGTGCAGCGTCCAAGGGGTTCCCTCTCATCTTCTCAGCAAAGTCAGAGACCTGAGAAAGGAGCCTCAAGTCAGGCGAGCCCGAGTTTGCAACCAAGCCGCTGGGGGCTGCGGATGGGAACGCCGCCCTTAGGAGCCAAAGGAAGAGGCGGACGGCACGATTCTGGGTGGGAGGCGGGGCACGTCCGAGTGCAGAGGACGAGTCCGCGGTCTGAGCGCAGGATCGCACGCGGTCCTCCACGAGACGAAACCCCGGCGCCCGGCCGGGCTCGAGCCAACCAGGCTCTCTCCGCGGCTCCGGAACTTGCAGCCCCGGCCGGCCTGCTGGCTGGTTTTCTCCCGGGGCAACGCGTCCTGGACAAACTCCGAATGTGACCCACGCCCGCGGGGCCCGAGAGGCCTGGCCGCCGCGGCTTCCTCCTCGCCCGTCTCCCCGCGGGAGGGAAGGCAAGGAAGGAAGCGCGGGCACCGCCGCTCGCCGCAGGGAAGGCGGCGCGGCGCCGGGGGAGCAGGCAGAGGACCCCGCCCCTCCTGCGAGCGCCCCCAGCCTCCGGTCGCCCCTCACCTTGTCCCACCGAAGCCACCGGGCTGACTCCTGGTCCAGCCGAGTGTCCGCGCCCGAGCCACAGGCCCCTTTAGCCGCCGCCGCCATCCCTACGCTGTCACCACCGACTCAGGAAGCGGGGATCTGGCTTCGGCGGCCCCGAGGGGCGGGGTCGGGGAGCTGCGCCGCGGAGCCAACCGGGTCCCGCAGGGAGCTGACGCGACCGTCCCTGAGCACGCCCCTTGCAGTTCACCGGCGTGCCTCTGGGGGTAGCAGGCCAGGTAGACGGGTGGAGGGGAGGTGGGGTGCTGGGTCCTTCCCATCATCTCGGAAAAGGTCCCTAGGTCACCCCCATTCATACAACAGCTAGTCACTGAGTTCCTACTATGCGACAGGCACCGGGGCAGGTGCTGGCATCCAAGGATGGATAAACTCAGGACCCTAAAAGTTAAGTAGAATTTATGAGGGTCAGCAATAACGGAGAAAATGCTTATGTAAAAGAAGAACAAAGTGGGAGGATGAAGTTAGAGGATGGAACCGAATGGAGAGCCCAAAGACTACACTTGGGTGGACAGCTTACTTATTTCGGAGCAAGAGGACAAGGACCTCCCCCCCCCCCCCATGAATGGTACAGGGTCAACTGTATATCCATATAGGAAAAAGAAAGAAATAAACTTGAACCCCTAGATCATATCACATGCAGAGATGCATTCCAAGTTAATTGTAGATCTAAGTGTGAAAGGTAAAATGAAACCTCTAGAAACTAGGATAGGAGTCTATCTTCATGACTTCGGGATCACTGATCCTTAAAGGAGACGCATGCAGTGAGCAGGAAAAGTCATGTGCAAAAATGTTTCTAGCAACGTTATTTGTCCCAGCCCCAAATTAGAAACAATCCAAGTGTCCATCAACAATACAATGGATAAATACATTGTGGTATATTCATACGGTGATATAAACAAATTATGGGATATTCATACAGCAATAAAAGGAACTGTTATCACAATAACACAGATCAACCTCACAAACATTATGTTGAGTGGAAGCAGCCAGACCTTCCTTCCCGCCTACGCATCCCCATCCCCATATACTGGATCATTCCATGTATACAAGAGTCTGGAATATGTAAAAATATAGGGGAAAAAAACAGATCAGTGCTTTTTAAGAACGGGGTGGGGGGGGAGTAGACGGGTTGACTACAGAGGGCACAAGGGAATTTTGTGGGTGATGGAACTGTTTTATATCTCCATTGTGGTCACAGTAAATAGAGCCATGTTTATCAAAACTCACGGAACTGAATTTCACTGTTCTGGAAGTATCCAGCCATGTACTATGAGAAATAGGGACTTTTATTGAAGAAGATACAAGAAACATTGTACATAGGACAATGACCTTTCAGTCCCCATTATAATAGGCACCTTGGGACCTCACACAGTTCATTGGCAGTGGTTTGAATCAAGACATTAGCAACTGCAGCATGATGTTCCTTCTGCTCTGGTAGCAGAAATCGCAGAACAAATTTTGCCGTTACACGTTTCATGTTAAGATCACTCATCAAAATCTCAGACATGGTAGTTTTTGGAATCCCCAGATCCACTTCTAGTTCTCGCACTGTCAGTCACCAATCTTTGTTGATTGCAGCCCATATACATTCTCAGGTGTTCTGCTTGTTGCAGGCCTTACAGAACGTGGATCACTTTCAACAGATTCTCGGCCATCTTTGAAGCATTTGTGCCACACTTTTATTTGCACTGCACTCATCGCATCGTCCCTGAAAGCCTTCTGAATCATCTGAATAGTTTCCACAGAGGAATGTTCCAGCTTAATGCAAAATTTGGTGCAGATTTGTCGCTCTCCTTGTTCAGTCATTTTGAATGTGGTGGCCGGCCACCTAGTACACATGCTCACTAAATGGCTTCTACTAACTGCACAATCCAGTCCACTCTCCTTGCCTGCCAGGTTACATTTATCTTGCACAAACCATTCTCATTAATATTAAAATGGCTGGACTTTTTCCAGGCAGACCTTGTATGTAAATATTTCAATTTTTTAAAGTCTTAAGATTTAAAACTTTGGGGGTTTTTTTTGTTTTTTTTTTTTAAATTGGTGATTTAAAAAATATTACTTATTTTTTAGAGAGAGGGGGAGGGAGGGAGAAAGAGAGGGAGAGAAACATTAACCTGTGGTTGCTTCTCACACGCCCCCTACTGGGGACCTAGCCTGCAACCCAGGCATGTGCCCTGACTGGGAATCGAACCAGCAACCCCTTGCTTCACAGGTTGGCACTCAGCCTGCTGAGCCACACCATCCAGGGCAGGATTTAAAACTTTAAAAGGAGGAAAACTAATGTATGGAGGTCAGGAGAGTAGTAATTTGGGAAAGGAGAAGAGTGCCTCCTGGGGGCCCGGAACATTCTATTTCTCGACCTGGGTACTGCTTGTCAGATGTGTTCACTTTGTAATAAATGACTGGACTGCACTCATGATTATGCATTTTCTGTGTATTCTATTTCAATTTTAAAAAGTAAACAATGTATACCTGGGATCTGCGATACCTGCTTAAGTGTAATGAGACAGGTGTATCAATCACATAATCACATCAGTTAATACCTAATCACAAACTGATGAAAATGTTGGAAAGGAAGCCAGGAGGTCCCACAAGGGTGTCCATTCGGGGCTGTCCTAGTGTGGGGAGCATCCCTGACCCCTTGAAGCTTGTGTGGAGATGCCAAGGAAAGATGCCAAATGGCATTAACATTGGGGGAGGCAAGAAAACTGCTTTCCAGACAGAAAGATCCACAAGTGGGGTCCTTCCCAGAAGAGAAGAAGGATGGGCGGCCTCGTCTCCCTACCTGTCAGGTTGTCTGCAGGTCTGCCACGCTCGGAGTTGTCTCCTTTCTCTGCACCAGACCAGCTTTCTGTTCGGTCTCACTAGGAGAGAAACTCAAATATCTAGAAGTATCTTTTTTCCCCTTACAATTTGCTTGAATCAGCAGCCAAATAGTTTTGCCATTAGCTGATAAATCTCTTTTAATTTATAGGGTCTGCCCCTGTTTTCTCACAAATTATATGTTGAAGACAGTAAGTCATTTGTCCTATAAGTTTCCCACAGTCTGGATTTTGCTGGTTGCGCTTCATGGTGCCTGTTAGCATGTTTCTCTGTCTCTCGTATCGCCTACACATTCATTTTACTATGACTTTCCCTTCATGGTCTCTCCCTTACAGGACCATGAGCTCCTTGAGGGCAGCATGGTGTTTCGTTGACCTGTGCTTACCCAGGGCCTAGCGCTGTAAGGGCACACTAATGGGTAAAAAAATAAATAAAGTTGGGAGGCTGTGTGTTCTTTCCTCATGTAGGAAAGGGGAAGGTTCTAGAGTCAGGACTGGATCTTGCCTCCACTGTTTGTTCTCGTGGAGACCCCTGGGCAAGTCACTCAGCCTCTCCTGGGCTCAGCTCCTTTATTTCTAGAATGGAAACAACAATATTGTTCACCTCCTAGGGGTGATGCGGGGCTTCAATGAGGAAATACACATAAAACACTTAGCATTACTTCCTGGCATAGGGTAAGCACTCAATAAATGTTAGCTGTTGCTATGCAAATTCTACTAGATTGACATTTGGTACTAGTCACTGTAGGCTAGGCCCAGCCGAAGTAATACGTTAATCCCTAAATCTCAGGATTTAGTGAAACAAATAATATTTTTTTAATTTTTTTTTTTTTTTTTTTGCTTTCTCCTGTTATAGGTCCAGGGTAAGTCAGGGAATGCTATAGTCCATGCAGTTACTCGGGGATCAGACGGCTCCCCCATCTCAGTAAATGGCCTCTGTAGTCACCGTAGAAGGGCAAGAGAAAAGTGTAGAGGTCATACAAGAGCTCTTAAATGCTTCTGCCTGGGAGTGGCATGCATCACTTCTGCTCATATTTCATTAGCTGGAACTCTGATCATATGAACCCACTTAACTGCAAGAGTTCTGCAAAGCGTAGACTACCCGTGCCCAGAAGACAATTTTGTAGGGATGAGCCCTCATCATCACTGCCACACATTCTGTGTTGCCTGTGAATAAATGTTAGAATAATGATTGCAAGTATCAGTGGTTCTGGTATATTTCTAACAAGCAAGAAGTAATTCCGAGATACCACTCAGTTGAAATGTAGAATCACCACCTGATGGAATAATCTAGTCTTCTTCATACAGTTGAGTCTTTGAAATAGATATCAGATCATGTTCCCCTTGTTTCCAGTCCTCCCATTGACTTCACAATGCACTTGGAATAAGAATATCTTTTACTATGGGCTTCAAAGTCCAACTTAAATGTCCCCAGCCCTGATTTCCTGGCACTTTTGTCACTCACTGTGATCAGCCCTGCAGTGCTGTGCGGCCCCTTGAATGTGTCAAGTAGGTGCTGCTGTGAGACCCGTGGATATCGCCGTCCTCCAGATATTCCGGTGAAAAAGGTCCGCATTTAATTCGGACTTTGGCTCACGTATCAATCACCTCATCAGAAGACTCTTCTTTACTTGCCGGTAAATGGTTAACAACTAGCTCTCTGGGATAAAAACCCTGATTTTTTAGTATTTGTCAATTTCCTTGGTGTAAACACATCCTCCATGGCTGATTTTTAGCTTCCAACGTGATGTCACGGAACACGGAGTTGGAGGGAGATGCGGGAAGCACACCATTATGTAATAGTCCCAATGCACAGATGTAATGGATGTAAATCGCTTAAAGAGCACAGATAATAGTAACGTGTAGTAAAACCATTAGAAAATGATGAGTGACTACCTTGGCTTTTATTATATTGCATTAACTTGCAAAGCAAAAATTTAACAGGCAGCTCTGGTGAACTGTCAGCAACAGTCACCATTGTCCCTCCTGAAATGGGACCTGCACCGCCTTCTTAGCTTACATTAATTTTCTTCAAAGTATTTATCAGTATGTGCTGTGATATTATACATTTGATTTTTAATATAGTACACTGCCATAGTGTAAACTCTTTATTCTGACTGAGTCACCAGCACCTAGAACAGTGCTTGGCTCTTAACAGATAGTCCATTGGGCCTCATGAAGAAGAAAGAGGAAGGCGGAAGGTATTGGGTTGGCCAAAATTTGTTTGGTTTTTTTCCCGTAAGAAGGCTCTAG